TGAGCCACCGCACCCGGCCTCAGGTATTTCTTTATAGCAATGCAAGAATGGCCTGATACACGTCTCAAACAGAAATTCTATATCCACCAAACAATCACTCCCCATTCTCCCCTCTTCTCAGCCTTTAGTAACCTCTATTCTACTTTCTGTCTCTATGAATTTGCCTATTCTTGGCTCCTCATATAAATGGAGTCATATAATATTTGTCCTTTTGCGTCTGTCATCTTTCACTTAACATCATGTTTTTAAGGTTCATCTATGTCATAGCGTGTATCAGAATTCCACTCCTTTTTATGGCTGAATGATATTTGAGTTTGTTTTTAATTCACCTGTCCAACAAATATTAATTGAATACTTTATCCATCCAAGCACTTTTCTAGATTCTATGGAGATAGCAATAAGCGAAAGAGACAAAATTATTGCTTAATTCTTACCAATAAACAAGTGATTATATACTATGTCAGATGGTGACAAGGGCTATAGAAAAAAAAACTGTATTGCAGAGAGGAACTGTAGAGGAAGAAGAGATCTCAGAGGCAGAGTGGAATCATTCGTGTAGTTCTTTGAGAGCTAGAGTAAGGATTTTGGATTTTACTCTGAAATCAGAAGTCAATAGAAAGTCTGGAGCTGGGATGGGTGTGGTGGCTCACACCTGTAATCCCAGCCCTTTAGGAGGCCGAGGAGGGTGGATCGCTTGAGACCAGGAGTTCAAGACCAGCCTGGCCAACATGATGAAACCCTGTCTCTACTAAAACTACAAAAAAATTAGTTGGTCATCATGGCACACTCCTGTAATCCCAGCTACTAGGGAGGCTGAGGCATAAGAATTGCTTGAATCCAGGCAGCAGAGGCTGCAGTGAGCCCTGGGATCCAACAAAGCAAGACTCTGTCTCAGAAAAAAAGAAAGAAAGTCTGCAGCTGTAGAGTGACATTTTCAAGGATAACTGTTTTGAAGGATAACTTTGGCTTCAGTGTTGAAATGAGACTATGACAGGAAATATGGTAAAGGAAAGGAGAGGCCGGGCGCGGTGGCTCAAGCCTGTAATCCCAGCACTTTGGGAGGCCGAGACGGGCGGATCACGAGTTCAGGAGATCGAGACCATCCTGGCTAACACGGTGAAACCCCGTCTCTACTAAAATACAAAAAAAAAATTAGCCGGGCGAGGTGGCGGGCGCCTGTACTCCCAGCTACTTGGGAGGCTGAGGCAGGAGAATGGCGTGAACCTGGGAGGCGGAGCTTGCAGTGAGCTGAGATCCGGTCACTGCACTCCAGCCTGGGCAACAGAGCCAGACTCCGTCTCCAAAAAAAAAAAAAAGGAAAGGAGAAAGATCAGCGAGGGGTGTGCATTAGTCAAGGTTCCCCAGAGAATCAGAAGCAATAAGAGCGTGTGTGTGTGTGTGTGTGTGTGTGCATCTGTGTGTTACATGGGGAGAGATATACTTTAAGGAATTGGCTCATGTAATTGTGGGGGGTGTCAAATCTGAAATCTGTAGGGCAGGCCAGCAGGCTGGAAATTCAAGCAAGAGCTGATGTTGCAGTCTTCATTCTGAAGTCCACAGGATAGGATAGGAAGGTTCGAAACACAGTCAGGGTTTCCATGTTGCAATATTGAGGCCAAATTCCTTTTGAGGCAGAATATACTCCATGCCTCGTTTGCAGTCAACCTCTGGCATTTCTTGGGCTGTGGATGCATCAACCCAATTTCTGCCTTACATGGCATTCTCTCTGTGTGTATATCTGTGTCCAAATTTCCCCTTTGTATAAGGACACCAGTCATGCTGGAATAGGGTGGCCTTCATCTTACTAATTACATCTGCTGCAATGCTATTTCCAAGTAAGGTCATATTCCAAGGTACTAGGGACTAGGATTTTAATACGTAAATTTTGGGAGGTGCAAGTCAACATATAACACAGGGTAACAGCTGTGAATATGAAGTAGTTGGATTTGGCCAGAAAATTTTAAAAAGAGAGTCTGGGATACTCCAATGATGTTTTTCACCTGAACAAAAATAGTTAAATTGCCATTTACTAAGCTGGTGAAGACTGCAAGAGGAGAAAGTTTGGAGAAGAATAACAAGGGTTCAGTTTTTATATAAGTTTCAAAGCACCATATCCGGCAGGGCATGGTGGCTCATGCCTATAATCCCACCACTTTGGGAGGCCAAGGTGGGAGGATCACATGAGATCAGAAGTTCGAGATCAGCCTGACCAACACGGTGAAACCCCATATCTACTAAAAATACAAAAATTAGCTGGGCAAGGTGGCGCATGCCTGTAATCCCAGCTACTAGGCTGAGGCAGGAGAATCACTTGAACCCAGGAGGTGGAGGTTGCAGTGAGCTGAGATCACACCACTCTACTCCAGCCTGGGTGGCAGAATAAGACTCTGGGGAAAAAAAAAAAACCAAAACAAAACAAAACAAAAAACACCATCTCCTACCCTACGTCCCTTACTTGGCTAGTAATGCCTGTGGCGAGAACAGAGGACCCAGTTATCTGCAGGAGCAGGGCAGACAGAGCCTTTGAGGGTTTCCCTTCCCTAGACATACAAGTCATCTAAGTAGCTCTCATGTCTGGCCCACTCCACTTCCCTTTCCAGCCCCTCCTCCCTTGCTATCATTGCCTCCATTACACATCTCTTTATGACATCTCCACATAAGCCCTAGGCATAAATACATTTTAAAAGTTATTAAAAGAATGGAACAAGTCAGAACTGATTATGAGCTGCAGAAATATTCTTTTTAAGAGTTGTATGTTCACGAGGAACATTGAGATTCTGAAGGAACCTTAATAATGGAAACATATTATGAAGAGTTGGGTTCACCTCAAATTAATATTAACCTGTGACTCTAGTAGCCAGGATCTGTTATTTATATTGCCACCTTTCAATCTGCATAATTTATGGTCAGTGCAGGGGAAGATTTGCCTTTATAGTTTTCACTGTCAGCTAGATTCTTCGATCCAAGTGGAAGAATTACATTTCCAAATAACAGAAAGTTAAAATGTATAATATGACTAAACTACAACAAAGTGGAACTTAAAAATAAAGTCCAGGAGAAAATAGGTCATTTCATAAAACTAACTTCAAATTCTGTTAGAACCGTGACTTTAATTCTAAAGGCTCTCAGAAAGTTTTGGTACAGGAGTCCTTTATTCTGCTATGGATGTTTCCTTTATGAAATGCTGCTGTTTAAGCATGAAAGAAAACCTTCCATTTGAAGTGGGCAAGACATTGTTCATATGGATTTAGGCTGTGGCGATTTTCGTTTGCATAAAGGCACTCTGGTTGCTGTTCAGTAGTCAACATGATTAATTAGGGATGTGGTGGTTCAATCAGAATAAAGTATTCCCCAAATAATCTGGATCCCTAAGGGCCAGTGCTTCCAGGAATATGGTCCTGATAATTCCAATCTGTGGCTAATATTATTGAAAGCCTTAGACTGTCAAATAGAATCTGGCCTAAAAGGAGGACAAAGCTCTCTGAAGTGCAGCCCTTCGGGCAGCTGAAGGTCTTTTCTCAGATCGAATTTTTTGGCTACATTGATACTCTTCGGCTCCGTCCTTGCCAGAAGTGTGGAAGGATTCCAGCACCCCACAACTTGCTTGATTCATCCTCATCCCCTCCCCTAACTGGAGAAGCCGCTGGGTTTCGCGAGCCAGACTCGCGGTGGCTTCAGAAAAGCAGGCGAGCAGGCGGCTGATCCGGAGGCCAGTGTGGGGCCGGCAAGCGGTGACTGTCTCCAGAGGAGCAAAGGAGCTGAGTCTTGTTTTTCTTGGATCAGGTTTGGGACTTTTATTCTGTCTGACCATTTCCACCACTTCCCTCACAAGAGTCTCTGTCTCAAAGCACAGGACCGAAGCAAAATGCCTAATGAAGCGTGCCCAAGGAAGGGGCAGGGGCGTGCAAGTGACTCGGGAAGAAGGACTGGGGTGAGGGGAGAAACGAGGTTACGAGTTCGCACGTTCTCACAAAACCATTTGAAAACAGGAGCTGGAGACGACAAATTCTGGAACCCACGAAAGGCCTCTGGAGCTCGCTCCGGCTCCTCGAAGTTGGGCGTGCGTCGCAGAAGAGTGCTGGGCGCTCCCTTTCAGCATTTTCGGCTTTGTTCAAGCCCTTGCGTAGGGTCAGGAAAGTCGTGGGTGGGCTCATCAAGCTTTAGGTCTCCAGGAACCCGGCTGGTCCTCTCTCAACTTCTTAGCGTAGGGTCCCGCCGGCCCGGGCGCCCTTGGCCGCCGAAGTTCCCGCCCTCGCCGAGGGCCCTAGCTCCGGAGCGGGGCGCAGACGCGGCCGCCGCCCCGCAGTCCCCCGCAGGTGCCTCCCAGGACCAGCTGCCGGGCGGAGGCCGAGCACGCATGGCGGCAGCTGAGCCTCTACACCCCAAGCCCCAGCCGGAGGGTCGCGTCCCCTGTCCTCCTCCCGGGCGAGACGAACGCTCAGCAGCTCATTCCCTGGGCGCCAAGACCGATTTCCAAGTCGCCCACTTTACCCCCTCCAGGAAGCTGTTGGCGCTTCTCCAGAAGCCTCCTCGGCTCCCAGCTCCAGCCCCTAAAATAAAAGCACCTTGCCAGAGAGCGGGGGAGGGGAGCAGCTGAACGGAGAGAATGAAAATACTAGGAGAACGACCCCATTCTCCAGGAAAAGGTAATGAGGGGAAGTGAAACAGTGTGAACTTACTCGGAAATGCAAACCGAGTTCAACTCACCCGGGAGCAAACAAACGACAGAAAGACAAATCAGCCACCGCACTCGCGGCTTTCCCAGAAAAGGCCTCATGAATGAGAATGGGTTGCTAGGTTTCCTTCCCTCTCTCCTGACAATCGCTTCCCACAAGACTTCCACCGCCGAAAGAAAACAGGCCGGGCCTGGTGACTGCGGAGTGAGGGAACCGCGCCAGGCCCACGAGGCCGCCCGCGACCGCTCCCGCCTTCAGGACCCTGGAGAGCGGCCGCCGCGCCCCTGGGACCCACGCCCAACCCAGAGCACCCGCGCTCGCCTCCCGCGCCTCACCACCCCGGCACTTTATTCGCTGCTTCCCGCCTCCACCTTCATTTTTTTTGGCAACCACCGCTCTTGTTTTTCACAGACAGATTAAATTGTTTTTTGTTTGGCATGAGGGGGTGTTTGGATTGGCCGAGCTACATTCCGGTTTGTAACTACACTAAACGTCAGTGCACCAAGAAACTAAGAGCGTCTCAAAGATGAGAGCCTGAACGAGGCAGGTGACCTTAAAAAGCCACTGAGTTCAATCCCTTTATAAATGAACTCAGAAAATAAAGAGCCTTTCCCAGTATTAGCCATTAAGTTCGTGGCAAGGTTGAGTGTAGAACCGTGGGTTTCTGACTTCTAAACTAATGCTTCCCTCCACTTTCCAAGGGGAAAAAAAAATCCTCATCGCTTAGGTCTCCTAAGCAACAAGTGGAAGGTGGAAAGGCCGGTGTTCCCGAGAATAAGAAGGACACATGGATTTTGGAAAGGGGGTCCGTAGAGGGTTCACTTGTAGTAGCAGCCCTAACATGGAATCCCGGTGTTCCCTGCTCCACGTAACATAACCACAGCCGCAATGGCCAGTCCCTTTCTCCAACCAGCCTGTGAAGGGTCTGGGGCCCTTCAGCCACCTTCAGCCAGTATCTGGACCTTCCGTAGGCAACAATCCCAATAGAATCTAGTAGCCAAGGCGAACTCTGTGCCTCTGGCAGGCAGAACCCTGGGCACTTAGGGAGATGCGAAAGGGCAGGGGGAACAAGGGAAGATCAGAGAAGGGAGGGGAAGAGTAACAGTTACAAAAGTGAACTAAGATTTTCATCCAAATTCTGAAGAACCAGGAGATGTGAACACAGACCCTTCTGCATAGCGCATGTCACATTCAGCGCACATAAGAGTCCCCTGGGAATGTTACCATGCAGATGCCGATGCAGTAGCCTGGGTGGGGCTCAAGAGTATTTCTAACAAGCTCCTAGGTGTTGGCGAAGCTGCTGGCCCACGGACCACACTTCAAGTAGCACGGAGTTAGGAAAAACAGGAGTGGGAGGGGAAAGAATCTAACTGTAGGCCTTTCCTTTTGCTTTCACCGACCTTCTCTTGCACCCCCAAAGTAACGCCTCAAAACTCTGTAGTAAAGAGCCCCGTCTAAGCGGCCGGACACCACATTAACCGTATGCTGGTTTTGTTTCTCTCTCCCTGCCCCAGCCCTTCCCGCCTGCACAGCTCCCAGACTCGCCTGCCGCCCCGAAGCTGCTCGGCCTCCTTTATAGCCCGCTTTCCAGTCTCACAAGGTTCTTCTCTCACCTTCTCCGGCGACCCCCTCCCGAAGCTCCCCGGAGGCGCCCGAACTTCTCCCCCCTGCTTCCCGCCCTGCCGGCCGCCCGGCTCTCGCGGGGGCACGAGGAGCTGCCAGGCCGCCTCTCGCTCCTGCTCGGGGCGGCGCTGGCACTGCCCGGCCGACCCTCGGGGGGTCGTCCGCTGAGGCCCGCCCGTCCGGTCGGCAAGCCCAGGGAAGAAGACGCCACCGCTGGGCAGAGCTCGCCCATGCCGGTGAGTATCGTGGTCTCCATTACGCCCCACACCCAGCCTCCCCAGGACACCAGCCTCTCCCGATTCTTCCTAACCCCGACTGACCCGCTCCGCCCGGGCCAGCAGCGGGGAAAGGCGGCAAGGTCGGTTAGGCCGGGACAAGGCTGGGCAAGTCATAGGACGGGACACTGGAGGCACCCGGGACACCGCCCCTCCTCGCGGCAAGACACTCCAAGCTACTTTTTCCTGGGCCATTTCCTTTCCAGGGTCCAAGAAAACGGGAGGGAGCCCTCGCTCTTCCCTTTCAAACTGCCTTTCAAACTCCAGGCGTGTCGCTCTCCTCCCCCTACTCCGAGCCTCCCCCAGACGCGCCTCCGCCGGCTCCCCGCGCTCGCTCTCCCACTCCCCTGCCCTCTCGGCAGGCAAGGGAGGAAATGACGTGATGTTATTTTTGTGTCAGGTCAGTTTCCAGCTTCAGCTTAGCCCTCCGGGCTCCAGGGAACTACCCCCGCGGCCCCACCGGGTCCCACTCTCGAGGGAACGCTGCGGGCTACGGGGACACGCGGTGTTGCGAGTCTGGAGAGCTGGGCAGCTTGGTTCCCCCTCCCGCTGCCCCCTGGTCTACTCCTCTCCCCGGACTCGGGAGTCCCTGGAGAAGGGGTCGCGGAGGGCGACTGCCGAGGGTCTCAGCGGGAGCCGGAGTCAGGGGTTAGTTCCTCCCCTTATCCCCTTATCGGCAAACGAGCGGGGCCTCCGCGCTCTGGCTAGCTGGGAGGCGGCGAGGGCCGCTTTCCAGGGCGGGAAGACCGGAGGCCGAGGCTGCGCCGGGGAGGGGCGGGAACAGAGCTCCGAGAGGTGCCCCGGGCCGCGGAGAAGGTAGGGGGCTGCCCTCTGTAGGCGGGCAGTCCACAGACGCGAAGCTCTGGGGACCAAGCACCCGCTCCGCGCCAGCCGCCCAACCCCGCTCCTCCCTCCCGCTGCCTTCATTCACAAGGTCCGAGCACGCAGTCCAGCACACTCGAGTCTCGCTCTGCCCCCGCGCGCCGAGGGGAGGCGATGACACAGAGGGCTTCGAGGACGCCCTCCACGCGCGCCTGGCTTCGTATCCACACTCCTGGGACTTGCTAATCCAGGGCTGGAGCAGTGAGGCTGCGGCCGGGGTAGAGGTCGCGCGCCGCTTGGGACCTCGGGGGTACCCCTAGCGCCCGCCGCGGTGGAGTGCGCCGCCGCTGGAGGGAGGCGAGACGTGGGATTGCCCGGCCGGGTAAAGAGAGTGAGGGGGCGGGGAGGAGGCAGAGCAAGGGGAGGAAGAGGCCGGGAGAAAAGGGCTACAGCAAAGATCGAGAGCCGGAGAAAGGGGAAAGGCGCCCGGAGCAATCGCAGACGTAGAGAGGGCAGCCCTCGGCGCTGCAATAGAAGGAAGGCACCCGCCGGACGCATGCGCACGGCGGACGGAGGCGAGCCGGCCGGGGCTTCCCCTCCGGCTGGCAGGGTGGACAGTGGGCTCGTGAGTATCCTGGTTCCTCGACCTCTCTTTCTTCCTCTCGGGCTCTCCCTGAGGCTTCGTGCTGGAAAGTGGCCGAGGCTAGGAGGGGCGCGCAGCGCGTCCGGACCTCGGGGTGTCGCCGTTGCTGCTGGGCGGGAGCGGGTGCGAGTCGGAGGTTACTGCCGGTAGCTTTAGTGCGTGTTTGGGGGAGTGTGGCTGCGGGTGCGTCTGTGTCCGAAGAGGGGCTTCGCGCCACCAGGATCAGTATGTCCCGGGCCTGCTAGGGCGTCCGCGATTCCGCCTCTGCGGCCTCGGGTCGGTGACTTGGTGGAGAACGCAGAAGTCTAGACTTTAGACCCTAGAAATCGCACTGATCACCCGAAGCGTATTTTGGAAAGTCCAGGCGGGTGGAAGCGTCGGCGTTCTCACCGTGTAGGGAGAGGATAAGGAAGGGGCCAGGCGCCCGGGGCGGGTGGTTTGAGCGCCGCTGGGAAGGGAAAGGAGACAGAGCCTCCTGGAATCAGAGCGCCTGCTTTTAGGAGAAGTGCAACCAGGGCAGGGGCACCGAGGGGCAGGGTGAGGAAGTGGGCGCCCGGCGCATGGACCCCAGAGGACCAACTAGGTGTGGGCGTTCACTCGGAGCCTCTGTTCATGCTCTTGAAAACCGAATGAACAGAGAAGTGCCCTCCACCCTTCGCCTGCGCCAAGGCAGTTAACGTGCAGGCGCCGCCGGGATTTTCCTGGAACAAATCCGGGCACTTGATCTTCCGCACCCTCGGAGCTGCCCTGGGGAAGTCGGAACAAGTCTGGGCGCCTGGACTGCGGACTGGAAAGCAGGGAGCGGAGGGCGGGAGACTGGGGGCGGGAGGTGGGGGTGCGGGCTGCTGCTGGGGACCGAGGTGGGCGTTGGAGGGGAGGGTCTGTGTGCGCGGGTATCCTCCAGCGTTGGGGGAGCGGACAGGCCAGGGGCCTCTAGGGAAGCGGCGCTCCGGGACAAGGGTGGCTTTCCCGTCTCTGTGTGCGCCGCGATCCCCCCACCCAGCTCTGGCGGAGGAATGGGTGGGGGAGGAGCCCTGAGAGATGCAACTAGCTAAGAGTGGGGTGGGCGTTTTGGGGAAAGGTTTGCGTGCGCTGCGGCCCTCCGGCTGCTAGAGAAGTGGGCGAGAGAGAGTGGGCGCCGGGAGGGGGTCTATAGGCGCCGCGACCTCCCCCACCTCCCTCCACGCTTGTGGGGGAGTGAGTGGGGAAGGGGCATTGGGAGAGGCGGCGCGCCGACACTGAGTTGCAACGTGAGCTTCCCGGACTTGACAGCATCCAAGGAAAATCCTGGCGAGCAGCCAGGGCCAGCGAGCGACCCCAGCAGCAGGGACGAGGCGGTGCAGAGCGCTCGCGGACAGGCTAGGGGGATCCCTGGGGAGCAGCTGCTGCTCACGGACCACTGGCAATGCACGGGGTGGAGAAGTGAACGTGGTCGACAGGATTTCTATCCGGAAGGTGGACAGCGCTACAGGGGAATCTCCTCGATTCCTGTCCGTCTCATAATTTGGCAAAAGCTCGCGCCACTGCCCTCGACCTGGGCGACAGAGCGAGACTCCATCTCAAAAAAAAAAAAAAATTAGCAAAAGCCTGTCGCTCTTTGTCGACCTCCCCACATTCCCCAGTCACCTGGCTGGGGTTCGTTGGTATCAAAACCCCAGCCTTGGTGCCCTCGGTGTCGGCAGGACCCTCGCCCACTGGCTAGCGGAGTCAGGCACCTGCACGCGGGCTCCTCATTGCCCTGGCGCGTGGGGAGCAAGGGGCTTCTGCATCAGTCTCCATCCACCCTGCTTGGGACACAGGTGGCAGGGCCCTGGAGTGGCTTGGCTTCATTTCACTCCTAGTGCCTCCACACCGTGGAATTGACTAAACAAATGTTCAAGTTCGCAAAACGGTCTGACTTCCTCCCCAAACTTGACAAGGACATTTCTAGTGAAATTACTCTGTAAGTTTTTTTGGCACAACCACAGTTTGCAATTTACTGTTTTAAAATATTTTTTTCCTCAAAACCTAATTTTCTATTGGGTCTCATCCTGTTTATCTTCTGTTCATTAAGTGACATCTTTCTTTTTTTCTTTGAGACTCAGTTTCGATCTTGTTGCCCAGGCTGGAGTGCAATGGTGCGATCTCGGCTCACTGCAACCTCTGCCTCCTGGGTTCAAGCGATTCTCCTGCCTCAGCCTCCTGAGTAGCTGGGGCTGGGATTACAGGCAAGCGCCACCACTCCTGGCTAATTTTTTGTATTTAGAAGAGACGGGGTTTCTCCGTGTTGGTCAGGCTGCTCTCGAACTCCCGACCTCAGGTGATCCACCTGCCTCGGCCTCACAAAGTGCTGGGATTACAGGAGTGAGCCACCGCCATAAGTGACATCTTTTTTTTTTTTTTAAATCACGTATTAGTAACGCATATGAGAGGCAATGTCGCCAAACCAGTGAGAGTCTTGAGCTCTGTAACCGGGTTCAGATCCCAACCTAACTGCATAACCTTGGACTAGTTACTTATCCTCTCTGGGCGTTAGTTTTATCATCTGTGAAATGAGGATAATAAGAGTACCTACCTCGGCCGGGCGTGGTGGCTCACTCCTGTAATCCCAGCACTTTGAGAGAACGAGGCAGGGGGATCACCTGAGGTCAGGAGTTCGAGACCAGCCTGGCCAACATGGTGAAACCCCGTCTCTACTAAAAATACAAAAAATTAGCTGGGTGTTGTTGCTGGCGCCTGTAATCTCAGCTACTCTGGAGGCTGAGGCAGGAGAATTGCTTGAACTCGGGAGGCAGAGGTTGTAGTGAGCCAAGATGGAGCCACTGCACTCCAGCCTGGGCAACAAGAGCAAAACTCCGTCTCAAAAAAAAAAAAAAAAAAAAAAGTACCTACCTAACGGGCTAGCTGACAGCATTTAGTAAATTAATAACATAGAGCTCTTATAACGGGATGGCACATACCAAGCAAAAGCTGTTATTACTATTATTATATTGAGGCTAAATTGGCTAGACTTCAAACTATAAATAAGATCAGTAACAGAATGCATATTTTTGTATACTATAAAGAGTATGCATAATGAAACACATGTCCATCATCAAAATTAGAAAAACAGTCTTTTTTTTTTTTTTTTTTGAGACTGTGTCTCACTCTCTCACCCAGGCTGGAGTGCAGTGGCACAACTGAGGCCCACTGTACCCTTGAACTCCCAGATTCAAGGGATCCTCCCACCTCAGCCTCAGGAGTAGCTGAGACTTAAGGTACCTGCCACTGCACCTGGTTAATTTTTTAATTTGTATAGAGACAGGATCTCACTGTGTTGCCAGGGCTGATGAACAGCCAGTTTAGGATAATCTGAAAATGTACCTTAGGAACTTGAAGTGCTAACTTGTTTGAGATCACTGTAAATGTTTTAGCTGAAACATCCCTTATATCAGAAATACAGAAAGATGAAAATCAGGTTACTTATTCTACCTCCTTCGTTTTATGGATGAGGAAACATTCAGAGAGGTTAAGGGTC